GTTGAAAATGGTTATCTTGGGAGTTACCCAGTATCACATCTGTCATCTTGCAGATGGACCCCTGGGGTTGACTTGTCTGATGTGACAAAAGACAGTTGATCTGTTTGAAGAACTGAGTGCTTATGGAGAGACCCAGTTGGTCTCTAAGAGAAAATGTTCACAGCTCATTAAATTTATGTTGTAAACAATGTAGCAGGTCTCTCATTCTCTCTCTCTCTCTCCTTCTGCCCATATTCAGCCAGAAATAATCCATATCAATTTAGCCTCAGTGCTTTGCCAATCATAAAGCTTATACTTCGCTTTATACTCTCCTTACGTTGGTGGTTAGTTCAGTGGAACCTTTTTCAAATGGAAGCTCCTATAAAACACATACTGTGAGGTGCTGAGGGAAAGATAGCAGTAGGACCCTCAAACTCCTGCCTCTTAGTCTCCGATTTCGCAGCTCTGTCCTTGCCAGGCCCCTGGAGCTTTTTTGAGGAATCCAAGAACTCCCGGGACACAGTCTGAAAATGCTGGGTGCCGTGTGATTTTGACTGGCTCATCAGTCTGAGCTGAGTTGGAAGGAAGGTTCATCTTTGTTCCTGAGTCTTCAAAAAAAAAAAAAACCAAAGCAAATGTTTTTTAAATGTTAACAGTTGTCAATTCCAGGTGGTGGGTTGTTTGTTATAATATTCCTTGTACTTTCCTGGATTTGTTCCTGCAAATAAGGTTAAAGCATAGTGACAGTGGTGGGGAGAATAAACGTTTGTACACTGGACCAAATACAGCACCAGGTCCTTGGAAGAAGTTTCTATTTGCAAGCCATTTGGACTTGGGTGACCAGACCTGCTTTTGGAGGCCAGAGGGAGAATTGGTTTGTTCATGCTTAAAGTGAAGACATGGATTCCAGGCCTGCTTGGAAAAGGGCAGTGTCTTTACAGCTACCAGTGAAATTGTAAAGGGACTGTCATTTGAATATTCAATGACAGCTAAAATATATAACACATCACTGAGATGTATATGTCTGTATATGTGTACATATAGTATGGTATATACAATTATTACTATATGTACATATGTATATGTTTATAAAAACTTAGTTGGGTTTTGGTATATAGATACCTGTTTATAAATGTCTGCCCCTCCTTAAAATGTAAACTCAAAATGTAAAATGTTCACTGTTCAAGCTCAAGCTCTGAGGTTGGGCACACAGCGGGTGCTGGATAAAATACTTTGAATGAAGGAATGGATATATTCCTCCTCCTTTGAAGGTTCTCATTGAGAACAGGGATGGTATCTTTTGTTCCTTCGTATCTCCAAAGACTCAAGAAATGTTTGTGACTTTGATGTTTTAGTTCGCTCATTCAACAATCCTTATTAAACATCTGCTTCATGACAGCAGCCACTGTGCTAGATACTGAGGACACAGCAGTAAGTATTAATAAAACTGATGAAACTCCTGTCTGTCTTCAGACCTTCCATTCTAGTGAGAGGAAGCAGGCAATAAATGTAATAAGTAAACCAGTTGATTTTTTTTTTTTTTTTTTTTTGCTGATGTTGGAATATTAACTCTCATTACTTTCTGGCAATGCTGAAGGGCAACGCGTTATACCCTTTCTGTAATAAAACTAAAGACGATGTAACGCCTCCTGGAGAGATGACTAATTCAGCCCCCTCCGGCCAACCCCCTGCAGGAGCTAAGAAAAACAGGGGAGAAAATGGGACTATGTTGGTTCATGAGTGGTAACTAAGCCCCTGGAGCGGGTGGACAAGAGATGAAAGGGACAGTGTCAGAAAGGTTGTTGCTGCGGGGCAGAGGGGTCCCCCATAGCTGAGCTGTGGGCCTTGTCAGCTTGTCCTGATGGTTTCACCACACACCCATCCTGCCATCCTCGAAAGCCCATCCTGATGTTTACAGTGGAGGACGTTGAGCAATTGACCGTGAACTGACGTTGCCAAGGTATCCCCACTCCCGATGGGAATAACACCTCTGCCTGTGGGTGTTCTTCTTCCATCTCAAGACATGTAACAATGAATTCAGAGCAAGGAGTGAAGACAGTTATCTCATGTAAATACAGTCTTGTGCCTTTATAAAAAAAAAAAATGCATTTTCTCATTTGATCCTTATAAGACCACAGTGAGATGGTAAAGATGAGGATTACAATTAGGGTGTCCATGAACTCTAAATTACCCCTTCTGCTGTCCCAGCATCCTATCCCAGCTTAGCATTTGTCCTGGATTGTTTTAAGTAGACTTTATTTTTTAGAGTGGTTTAGATTCAAAGCAAAATTGAGCAGAAAGTACAGAGATTTCTCATACAACCCCTATCCCCACATACACAAAGCTTCCCCTGCTATCAACGTCCCCCACCAAAGTGGTACCTTTGTTACGATGGATGAACCTACATCAACACATCATCACCCAAAGTCCATACTTCACGTTAGGGCTCACTCTTGGTGGTGTTTGTTCTGTTGGTTTTGATGAATGGATGATGACGTGTATCTACCATTCTGGTGTCCTACGTGACAGTTTCATTGCCCTAAAAATCCTCTGTGCTCTGCCTGTTCATCCCTTTGCCTTGGATTTTTCGTTTTGCAGTAAAGTTTTCTTAGAGTTCTGTATTGGAAAGTATTTTTGATAGAACAATTTAATAGATCTTTCAACATAGTAAAACTACTTTCTAGGTCAATAAATATTTCAAAAAACTGTATAAACTTAAATATTTTTAGCACCTCCTTCTCTTTTTACAGGGATTCCAATTTTGGATAAATTACATGGTCTCCATAATTATAGTCTACATTTCAAGGGGAGAAAAACTGGTCCCTAGAGAGAAAGTGACTCTTCTTCCTATGTTTGGCCAATCAGGCCAAGAGCCAGGGGAGAGTCTAGGTTCCCAGACGTCTGGGGAGATAACTCAGATCTCAAAGCTTATCAGATCATCACCTTGTTTTAAAGTAGTTATGAAAGTGGGATTGCTCCTGTATTTCTAGTTCAGACATGAGAAAATTTATCGTGTAAGGTAAATACTTACCAAACACAGTAAGAAACAGAATGGACCACAAGAAGTCTGAGAGGTCATGACTCGGACAGGCAAGCCCAGGGCCTGCCTCGGGATGAAATGCTACTACAGAGGTAAAAGTTTAGACTTAAGAGGAGTACTATGCTTTTAGAGAAGATTCCATAAATTAAGTTGGTGAGGAATAACATCTTCATTGACAAATGTTTGATGGTATTTTGAGACTGAAATTGGAGTTTCATTTGCATATTTCTGGGACATAGTACATCTGTTTATCTAGTAGAATGAGTCTAGGTTCTGATCAAATACATACTAAACTTGCTTAGTATGATAATTAACTGTTCTGTAGTATCACCCACATATAATTTTAACAAATGTTATCATTCTAAAGATTGAACTGATTACTTTTTTATAGCAAATCAGAAGGAAATTATTTCAAAGGAGGTTAGGTTTTCATAAAGACTGATTTCTCCTCTTGTATTTATTTTAAGATGTAGTATTTAAAATACACGATGCCGTAAAAATACATCGTTATCCTAAGTCAGAAAAGAAAAAGTGGTCACTGTTCTGCAAAGTAGATCATGAGGAGGGTTGGGGAACGTCCAACACAAGTAAGGAAATAACATAGATTTGGGTGTGGAACTGATTCTCCACCTACAGGAGTCTGTAAGATGTGTTGCATTTGATGCTATCCCGGTGAAAGGGTATTCGCATTAGGTGTTTTTCCTTATTCGAGAACGGTGTGGAGATACGCTTTTATTTTATTTATTTACTGTTGTCAGGCCTCTCCATCCGGAGTGTGTGCTGGAAAGCAGACCGCCTCCTAGCAGGGACCCAGGACAGCGAGATATTTGAAGTGATCGTGCGAGAACGGGACAAACCGATGTTGATTCTGCAGGGCCACTGCGAGGGGGAGCTCTGGGGTCTGGCCCTGCACCCCAAGAAGCCTCTGGCCGTGACCGGCAGCGACGACCGTTCTGTCAGGTGAGGCCCCGGCGGCAGCTACGGTCACTTCCCTGACTTCCTGGAGATAGATTTCTTTTGCCCGAATGTACTTGTTAATTAAGAGAAAGATAAAGCATAGAACAGAGTAACACAGTTTCCAAATGGAACGTTAAGACATTTAGCTTGAGGAGTTGGTTTCTTAGCATTTTGTTGTTGTTGTTGTTATCTTTTTTGGCTCTATCTCAAATCATTAAAATGTTTGTAGAAGTGGAAGTACACGAATACCGGTTAGGCGGGCTTCCAGTTCTCTTTCTAGCTTAAGATATGGGCTAGGCGCGCTCATCTGTGATGTAACCATATTGCCCCCTGGTACCCTGGGTCCTCTGCAGGGGGGTGCATAGTGATTTTACAGTTTAGAGCTTAAATTCTGATTTTCAAAATGTCTTTCGCACGTTGGTAAATTATTCTTTGTAAATCCTCCTATGAAATGTTGAGTATTGTTACCACACCAAAGGGGAGTGATGACACCAGAGAAAATAGCAATTTTATTAGGGCCTGAGGTTTCTCACTGTGGACCATTTGTTCTTTGAGAGCACAACATTGGGTAAAATGAGTAAAATCAATATTCTTCCAGTTGTCTTGGGACTATTGAAGGAATGGACACATGATCTAAAAGTTTGAGATGAAAACTATTAACACCGACTTCAGTGTTTTAGTATTTATTGTTGAGCCTTAAATGTGCTCAACAACAAACAGGCCGGAGAGAGTGAGTAGCAGGAAAAGACTGATGAATGGATGGAATGGTTACTGAGTCTGGGTTTTAATAGCTAAAATAGAAACATTATACACTAGATTAAAGGTCACTGCTCTTTCCCCCTTGTCAACCTGAAATAACCAAAAGGATCAGAATCCAGTTTTAGAGTTTATTCAAGCACAAAGCTGAGAATGGCCATTTGGGTAACACAGACGCCACAGGAATGGGGTCAGCGCTTGAAGTTAAAAACTAAGTTTTTGCTTATAGAGGCAGAAAAAGAAGTTTAGTAGCATTATAACATTTTCTATACAGCCTGGTTTATGAGTTTACAGCAATTTAGGTAGTTATAGTTTGTTTTCTTTTCCATACAGCTTGTTTTCATTTCCTTTCCAATTTAAAAGTGTGCTTAACATTCCCTCTTAAGACAATGTAATAATCATGAAATTTTTGTGTGAGAAAAATAAGAGGAATGTTAGTCTATAAAGAAGATCAACGATGGAGAGGGAAGGGGTCTTCCCTGGTGCCTTTAGTTATTTACATTTTATAAAACAATGCAGGTTAGGGAGAAGGTGAATTTATAATCAGAAAAGCAAAGATTATAGCTGCCTGTTATGTAACTCAGGCCCCATAACCACATTCCTTTAGGGCTCAAAATAATTAAAAGTTCCAACAGCTTAGATTTTCAATTACTTATTTTCACATCCCTTATTTTTATATATTTATGAAACTAATGAAGATATAATCTGCATACTCACTAATTCTATTTTTTAGTCTCTAGCAAGCATGAAAGCCTCATCAGTCTAGAAACAGTGAAAACAACTGCGGTTGTCTCCTTATATGACATAAGTGTTTGTTTGGTTTATACTTCTCTTCTTCCTTTTCCTTCCTTTGCTGTGAACTTTCCCAGAGCAGCCAAAACAATGCTGCCAAGTTATTCAAACACCTGTGAAATTCAATTCAGGCCCATCCACATAGAAGTGATTTCAAGAAAACCCTCAGCTTTTGTATTTTAAGAACTGTGTTGAGACTGGGCACAGTGGCTCACGCCTGTAATCTCAGCATTTTGGAAGACTGAGCCAGGTGTGGCGGTGGATGTGACAGCTACTTGGGAGGTTGAGGTGAGAGGATTGCTTGAACCCAGGAATTCAAGGTTGCAATGAGCTGTGATCATGTCACTATACTCCAGCCTGGGTGACAGAGCAAGACCCTGTCTAAAGGAAAAACAAAACTCTAAGTTTCAGAATTGCAAACGTCCCCGAGAAGCCCTAAGTGCAAGAGTCTGTCTTATTTCCTTTAGCTATTAGTTTGGCTAAAATTTACAATGCATTTTTACACCGAATATTAAAATTTAGGAAGGGTGAAAGTCATAATTTCTTGAGAAAGGTTAGCTTAGCAACTTCATAGGTTTATTGAGGAGTGATGGTTTCTTACTTTGCTAGTAAAGCAAAGCTTACATTGCTTAAAATAGTACAAGGCTAAAAACAGCATGAGGTTATGAATAATAAATGAGGTATTAAGAGCATATTCAGCTTTAGGCTGAACAGTACAGGCTGCCTAAGGGAACTGTAAACTAGTCACTGTGCAATTCCACATTAAGGGATGTGCCCCTATCCCTCCTGATGGCAGAATGCATTAGGAGAAACTGTGCCACATGTCACATATTCTTGTCCTTCCATTGCAGCACTCTAGGTTGTAGGTGCCCCTAGCAGACGTTGTTGTTAGTGTGTAAAGAGAAGTCTGTCTTTATAAAAGTGCTAACAGATAGAGGTCAGATACCACAATTGCAACTAACCCTTATTTGTGTTTTCAAATGTTCAGGTTCCCTCAGTTTGCGGTGCCTGGGTTAGGTGTTTCTAGAGCTGGGAACTCGTGCAGCCCACACTGCTGGAAGCTCCCTGTTTGCTGCACTTGCCCCTTGCTCGGCATTTTTCCATTGCCAGGAGCACAGGGAAGTGTCTGGCCCACCAAGAGCAGACCCGTCGACAGTGGGGTGCCCAGGGAGCTTGTGAGGAGTGACCGCACATGACTGTGTGCCAACTTGGGAACCATGCTGGGGAAGGGTGTCATTTGCTCTTTTCTATCTCGGATACATTTTCCTTCTAGGGAGGCCAACAAATGTAATATGTATCTCAATCTGTGTGCGCTTAAATAACTATTACTGGAAGGGTATTAATTTTTCCTTAAAAGCTAACGATAATAGCATCTAGTAATATTTCACCTAAGTGTGATTAACAACTGTTGGTATAAGTCAAAGACAATATTTAATTTCTAAGAGAAAAGTAAGATTCGATGTGAAGTACTATTTAAATTTTCCTTATTCTATGAATTTCAAAATCTTTGAAAATGTTATTTCATCTTATATTTCTTGCTGGGTGTTTTCAAATGATGAGAATGACCCAAAGATGCACTAAACACCTTTCCAGGTTCCCTGACAGGCCCTGATGAAGGACACTGGTGTGAAATTAATGGGTCTTTTCTTGTCATTATCACTGTGGTGAGCAAGCCTTCCCGCCTTGGGCTGGCTGACGACTACCAGAAGCTGGTTTTGTTTTGTTTTTACTTTGTTCTTGTGCCTAGGCTGTGGAGCCTGGCCGACCACGCCTTGATCGCCCGCTGTAACATGGAGGAAGCGGTTCGCAGCGTTGCTTTTAGCCCAGATGGATCTCAGCTGGCCCTGGGCATGAAGGACGGCTCTTTCATTGTTCTCCGAGTCAGGCACGTACCAATATTGAACATGGTGTTTGGAAATGCTGTTTTGTTAAAAGTTCATATTCTCCTGGTCATACATAATACATGCCTGGACCTTAGGAAAAATTAATTTACTTTTTCAAATAGGAATACTATAGATCCACAATCCCCTATCTGTAATTCCGAAGTCCAAAATGCTCTGAAAATTCCAAGTTGTTTGGTAACTAATTTGGCATCACAGCCTAACCCAACAAACTGATGTGAGGCTGTTTTTAGTCCATTAATCTCTTAGTAGGAATAATCATGTGTCATGTGATTTGCTGCAAAAATACTGTGTTTAATACAGGGTGCTACCCCAGCCCCCACTGGGGATGTTGCATAATATATTGTATGTGAACCTTTCTAAAATCTAATGAATAATGAATTCCCAAGCACATCTGATCCCAAGGGTTTCGGATAAGAGATTGTGGGCTTTGTAGTAAGCCAAGAAAAGAGGAAGAAAGAATAAAGCAACGTCCAACAGCACCAGATGTTTAGAGGTGAGCTTGAGTAAAAGATTTCTTCCACCCATAATTGATACTAAAATGGAATATTTCCTATTTACTAACATCCTATATTATTTTTACTGTACAAAAGTTATGACCCACCCTTGTATTTCCTCTGAATGAGTTCTCTTGGCTCACATGTTTTGTGATTATAAAAAAAAATGCAGCTGTAAATTAAATACTGCATGTTTTGCACACAGAAAATTCAATATAGTGAAGAATACTCTTGGCACAGTTTATTGCAGAAAATTCTCATTACCAGCCCCATATAATTCATTACTGAATTGGTGGACAACATTTTCTTTCTCTGTTTAGTGATGTGTGAAAAGATGGCTAATTATCAGGTATCCTTTTTGATGGATTTCCCAAACCCCCACCCCCCCAAAAAAAAAATCCCCACACACCTATTTTATGCCATTATAGTACACTATAATGCTATTAATAAGCAATAACAAGCATGAGGGGTTATTATGTAGAAGCAAATATTTGGCATTATTTATGCATTCCGTTTGTTTTGAAGTTGATGGCACCATCTTTACTGGCTCATGGGACCTGCTAGTCATAACCCTGTCTCACAGTTGTAGAGAAACACAACCTCAGTGAGCTTTCAAATGTGAACAGAAATTCTTAAAAGAATCTAATCAAGAAGGAGGCAAAATATTCCAGTGATTCAGTGTATTCAGGAATGACTGTTCATAGTGAAAGTTAAATGATTACATAACCATTTAACATTTAAACAGGTAATTTTCTTCTTTTTTGACTTTTTTTTTTTTTTTTTTACAACAATAAGCATTAAGCTTAACAGTCACAAGTTTCTTGTTCTTAAAGTATAAAAAAGATGGTTTGTTTTTATGCTGACCTTGATACATTTTACCTTTCTCCACAGCATATTTTTAATACAGTTTTATTAACCCCAATTTTTTCTAACAAAAATTGTAGGGAAAAATGTATAGTTGAACATGAAAACAAAAATGCATTTCTCTTAAGAATCTTTTTATTGATACATGGTGTACATTTTTGGGGGTACATGTGATAATACATTTGTATAATTTGTAAAGATCAAATCAGTGTAATTGGGATATCCATCACCTTAAATATTTCTTTTCTTTATGCTAGAAACTTTCAAATTACTCTCTTCTAGCTATTTTGAAATATACAATAGATTATTGTAAACTATTATCATCCTACCGATCTATCAAACACTAGGTCTTATTTCTGTCAAATTGCACATTTGTACCCATTAGTCAACCTCTTTTCGTCGCAGATATGCATTTAATTAAATTTTTTTTTATTTTTACTTTGGAAACCCAAAATATTATTTATTTTCCTAAACTGGCCATAATTTTTAAATAATTCTATTTTATATATTTCCTCAAAAGTTAATCCTTCAATTCCTGTAGGTTTCTGCTCCCTTTCAAAAGCCTTTTCTCTGATGTATTTTAAAACATGACTTGGTTTTCCTATTTCTAGATTTGCTGCTTATCACTTTGCCTTTTATTCCTATAGAGATATGACAGAAGTGGTTCACATCAAAGATCGAAAAGAAGTCATTCATGAAATGAAATTTTCTCCAGATGGTTCTTACCTTGCAGTGGGATCCAACGATGGCCTAGTAGATGTCTATGCTGTTGCCCAGCGGTATAAGAAAATCGGAGAATGCAATAAGTCCCTTAGTTTCATTACGCACATTGACTGGTCCTTGGATAGTAAATACTTGCAAACTAATGACGGTGCAGGAGAACGATTGTTCTACAAAATGCCATGTAAGTCATGTGGCAGCCTTGGATGTTTGCAAAAAGCAAAACTTTGAACCACATGAAGAAAATATAGAAGAATGTCATTGTGACCTCAGGGCAAAGAATGTTTTCTGAAGTAAGATCCTCCTCAAATCATAAACTCTCAAAAGGTTAATGAATTGGACCACACTAAAATAAAAAATTACAGCACAAGAGACCATGATTAAAATCTAGAGACAAGGCATAGACTAGGTATAAATCCTTGCAATTGTTATAATGGATGAAGGATTTATGTCTAGAATATATAAAGAATGCCTATGGATAAGTGAAAGGAAAAAAATAGAAAAAATGGGCAAATTTCAAATGACCAATAAATATATGAACCTAGGTATCAGGGAAATGATTAAAACAACAGGGGAGGTACAATTTTGCACTAGTTAGACTGGCAAAAATCTAGTTGGCAAGAAGGGAATGGGAAACCATATACACAGCTGGTGGGAGCATGCGTGTAGGCATATGCACAAGGATGTTTGTGGTAGCAGTTTTTGTAATAGCCAAAAATGAGACCCGATGCCTAAATGTTGGTCAGCATGAAGAGAGTGATTAAATTAAATGTCGTACAGTCACATAATGGAATACTATTATAAAGAGCTTAAAAAAAAAGCTGGAGTACTTATGTCAATATGGATAGATCTCAAAATTACAATGCTGAACAAACGAAAGTTGTGCAATACGTACAGTGTACATTTACATAAAATTTTAGGACATGAAAACAAATTCTATGTATTTATGACTGTATACATATGTAGTAAATGTTTTTAAAATGCATGGTGAATGATAAACACCTAATTCAGGGTGTTGGTAACTTCTAAGAAAGAAGACAGAAATGAGATTGGGGAGAATTAACCAATGGATTTTAACTATCTGTAACATTTTCTTTAAAATTCTACTGTGATAAAGACAGCATATTAAGATTTGTTGAAACTGGGTGGCAGACATACTTGTTCATTATAGTAGTCTCTCTAATTTTCTGTATGCTTGAAATAGTCATAATTTTTTAAAATAGAGAAAATCTTGAAATAGTTATACAACCAACTTTCAAGTATATTTGGAGGTTCATGACCCAAATGTTTAGTTCATTATCCAAGTCCTTTGCTTTATCTGTTATTCTTTCTTTCTGTTGTTTGCCTATTTCATTGTTCATTAATACATCTCTAAAAGGTTGAATAAATGGTGATAATGCACGATAGTCATAATACTTCTGTTAGTGCCTTGCACACACAGTTTTGCAGCAGGGTTAGAAATGAATGAAAATGAACTGGAGGTATAATTTGCAGGTTTCAGCTTGCCAGGAAATAACACTCTCATCATGACATAGATACCGGGAGTCAGGGTTGGGGAGTTGGCTGCGTTATCATTAGGAAAACTGGTTTCTGCCAGAATGCCAAAAGGGAACAGTCTATTGAAACTTTGGAAAGGATAGTCTGGGGAGAATTAGAAACCACCTCTGGTATCAGCTTAGAACCATAAGACAACATTTCGAGATATAAGTCCTCAAAGATTTGAGGATCATAGTCCTCATTTACTGTGATTGCTTTAGTCCCAAACCTGCATTCTTCATGATCAGAAGCCCTTATTATATGATTTGGTGAAATGTGCTCATTGGGATTAAAAAACCACAATTTTAATTTCTGACTTGAGGATAATTTTTATAAGAGATTCATCTGGCTTACATAATACTTGTTAACTTAAAAAATTACCGAGGTTTATACTTTGGAAAACAGCTTTATTTCTGGTAAAGGGTGGCCATTCCAACAGGTTGGGGAAGTACAGCCCCAGCCAGAAGCCAGGCACACATGCTTCAATAAAGAGACAAGAGGGAACAGGATTTTATATTGAGCAGGGTGGTCAAATATACATATTCAATAAGCTATAGGAGGAGTTATAAATATTTATGAAGGGAAATCATACATGTAACTGTGCTTTATTTCTCCTATCCCATCATGGCTGAGAACTCAGTTTGAAAGTGTTTCTGGGGTCCCCTTGGCCTAGAGGGGTTCATTCAGTTAGCAGAGGACTTGGGATTTTATTTTCAGGTCA